ATTTTTTTGCTAAAAATGAAAATTGTTAAAAGCCTATTGTAATTATTTGTAGTCATCTAGTAAATGGCTAGTAGAAACCTGTATTTGACATTTAATATAAAAATGTTTTTTGTCATTCTTATATTATCCTATTATATTCCCAAAATTTGCCAAATACATAATGTATAAATGCTATCGCAAAAATGTACGATTTCCGCAAAGAATATAGGATCTTTTTCTAATCTAGTCAATAACGAATATTGGGGTTTCTAAGTTAAAAATGTATAAATCTATATTGATTTCAAATGAGTGATGTATTGTCTTTATTTTATTTTCCGATAAATTTGAAACCATCTTTGTCGTTGAAAAAGTTTATTTATTTGTTAAATCGGGATCTCAAAACTAGAGATACGACATAAGATTTGCTAACTACGGCTTAAGCCGTAACATCATTGGAACAATTCACCTACATTTCAACTCCATACATTTCCATTTTGTTTTCCTATTTTAAAAATTTGAAATAAATTAAGATTTTTAAAACTCATTTAATTTCAAAATGCGCCACTTATTTATTAACTTTGAAACCCCTATTATAAGGCATCTGATCTGATCGTCAGAGACGGGATACTTCCACTATCAAATCACAAAATTTTTATCGCAAGAGCATCAATTATTCTATTTTATTCCAAAAACTCTTCTTAGCCAATCATAATTCAAATTGTAATAAAATTTTCAGCTTCCAAAAACTATCACATGATAAACAGTGTGATTTGATTGGCTATGATTTATCATTTTATTCCGATTTATTATTAATGGAAATATTCACCGTTCCTGGTTGATCATACTGGTCCTTATTTGCTTACCTGATCAGAGTTAATGAATAATAAAAATTTTATTCCTCAATTTTTATTATGCTCCTATGCTATTTTTTAAAGCTTCATAATTTTAAAGATAGGTTTATTCATTCACAAAATTGGTTTCGGGGTTTTTTTTAAACAACAAATTTTTCTTTTCACTAAAAAAATGTCATAATGACTAGATATAAAGACTCCTGATTAGTTAGAGCCTGTAATAAGCACAAAAAATAATATAGAAGTATAAGCATGACCAGAGAATAAATATATTACAAATTCGGTTTGTAAAAACCAGGTTATCAGAATTCGGTTAAAATTAAAAAAAAATAATCGAAAGGCGAAGTAAATTCTAAAAAGGATTTAAAAGAATATCATAACGCTCTCGGTTACTAATAACATTGGAACTTTTAAAACTATATTTTAAATTCTATCTACCAATTAGAAATGACACAGATGGTGGTGGAATCCAACCTATTTAAGGCAAATAACGAAATTACTTCTATTTGGAATTGGGATCCAAAATCTCAACCATTTTGCCAAAATCATAACTACCAGACTCGAGCTTCATTACTAGACACAGCTTGAACTTTTGGCGCATAAATTGATATTAAATTGAAAGCCTTTGATTAAATACCTGAAATTTAATATTAGCTAAAGGGAAATATATCAACATGAAGATAAAATAAGTGCTGCTAAGGAAACCTGGAGTACGAATTTAAATTTTCAATATTGATAAAGTTTAAATTCGACTTCAAATTTTTTCTTGACAACACTAATCATTATAAATGTCATGATGTGATATCTCTTTGCAAACCACAAAAATTATTAAATCGATTATAGAATCGGTTTCACCCCCTACTTTGAGTCTGTCAATCGTAATAAGTTTGAATTTAATAATGTTAATCAGTTCTTTTTATATTGTATTATTGATGTTATGTAATTGAATTGGCTAATTATCATGGTTGATTCATAAAAATCAACCAATCAGAAGAATTTCTGGATATTGATTACCCAGCTACCCAGTACAGCAGTAGGACCATGAAAGATCGACAATATGCACCAATTAGATTGTCTACAATAATAAAAAAATGATCGAATTTTTTAAATAATAAAACTTTATGCTAAGTGAGAGTTATGATAGAAGTAAGACTTATACTAAAATTTTGTGAGGAATCCTTTTTGTTGGTGCGAAGAAGGTGATATCGCTTGTCTGAAGAGATCTGATTGGTGCATCTACGATGATCTTTCATTTGTTTCCGATATACTAATTAATCAAATCTATATAATATATTATAAAACAGGAGAAACCGTCGATGCTACACGACTGATCCTTCACCCGGTATACAGCATATAAAAAAATTATTTTACAATACCAGATCATTCCGCTAGTACATGTTATGATTATAATCCAATACCATTTTTATTATAATAAAATGGTGTGGGATTATAATCATAACATGTACTAGCGGAATGAACTGGTATTGTTCATGTTATATTGTAATAAAAACTAGTAGTACAGATTTTTACATAGGTCGGCAAAATCGTTAAATTTACTTGCGAAAACTAATTTTCAAAAAATTGCTTTATCGCGTACCAATTATTTTTTCAAGCAATTTATACATCAAACGATCAGTTTAATATAATTATACAAAGCTATAGTTTAAAAATTTTAATTAAATTTAACAAAAACTTCTTGTGTACTGTTCAAGCTAAAAAGAATGATAAAAAATAAAATAAAAACAAAAAAAATTTAAACTATAGCTTGTTTAATTATATATTAAACTAATAGTTTGATGTATAAATTGCTTAACAAAATAGTTGATTCATGAGATGAAGCAATTTTTCGAACACTAGTCTTCGCTAGTAAATTTAACGATTTTACTATACTATGGTTTTTATTACATAGATTTGATTAATTAGTATATCGGAAACCCCAATCTTTCATGGTCATACTGAGTAGCTTTAATTACCCAAATTACCTTCTACGGAGAAAAAAAATGAAGTAAAAATAAAAAGCTAAAAAAAAGCTATAAAAAAAATACAAGAAAATTAGTGTCGAATCTACCATTGTATATTAATAATGGCTATTTACATAATTTTAGTTGCTTCAAATAAGGAAATCTAACAACGGTTTGGTAATATTTGGTCACCCGAAGTCAATCCGGGTGATATCTGACCCGACTTTAAGTGGAAGATCTTTTAAATACAACCAACTAACCAATTTTATAGCAAAAAAATGACGAATTCATATTCTCACGACTCATTTTAATTGAAGATACCTTCAAATAATACATACTTGCACAATACACACCGATCAGTTTCACGTTTTTAGCTCGCATGGATTTTCTTTTTTGTAGTACAAGTACTTGAGCATGCATCATTTGCGAATATAGTTGCACGAAACATCTGGTTTCCATCACTATTTGTGAAAGACCAAGGATATTCAAAGGACTTGGCCTTTATATGAGTGTCGCAAAGCTAAAACCTGTAATTCTAATTTTCGAAAATTCACCTTACAGAAACAGGTTTATCAGAATTTGATAAGCTTGAATGAAATTTCAGCAAACCAACAATTGTGAGTTTTAGCTTTGCGGCACTCATATATAACATCATGTTCTTACAATTCAGGAACGCAAATTGTTTCTCTATTTAGTTCATTATTGACATTAATTAAGCTAATTAAATATAAACTCTGCCCCTGACTATATTCTATATTAGAACAATTATTATGTGATTAACTACTATATTAATCCCTTGACACGATATATTGATATCAAACATATACGTACGTACGTATTTGCATCTTAACAAATGCCATCTCAAATAAACTCTCAAGATTACACCAACTGGCGTCCCTTCTGGAAAAAAATCAATAAAAAGAAAAAGAAAATACATGACCAAATTTATAATGCTGATGATGCTTCTATAAAAGAATTCACAGTTACTGCAAACTACCTTCGTGCTCGTCTACCACCCGGACTTTCTACACCAAAAGTAGCAATCATATGTGGTTCAGGACTTGGAGAATTGGCTGATGTTATCAAAGATAAAGTGGAATTCGCTTATGAAGATATACCAGGGTTTGTTTCCAGTACAGGTAAAACTCCGACTCTCTTTGTAAAAATTACTAAATATTTGGTTTTAAAAAAAATTTTGGGGTTCTTTTTTTTTTTAAAGTACAAGGTCATGTAGGAAAACTTGTTTTTGGTTTACTTGGTGATAAAAGAACACAAACAGTTTGCATGCTCGGAAGATTCCATTTTTATGAAGGGTATACACTTAAACAGATTACATTTCCTATAAGAATTTTTAAAATGTTAGGTGTAGAAGTATTAATTGGTAAGTCATTCACCTGTGTAGAGATTGTATCTGTTAGAAATAGCTATATGACTATTCGAAATGCAAAATAATATCATGTTTCTAGGTGTACATATCGTCATTTAATCTATTAATTTGAACATTTTATTTATAATTGTAAATAGTTACAAACGCGACTGGAGCACTAAGTAGAGACTTTAAAGTTGGCACGATAGGTGTAATAAGCGATCACATTTCCCTTCCTAGTTTAGTCGGAAACAATCCCCTATTTGGCCCGAACGTCTCTGCTTTCGGAACGAGATTTCCTCCCATGTCCGATGCGTATGATTATAATCTTCGTGTAATTGCATTTAAAGCTGCTAAATCCCTAAAATTTCCAGAAGAAAATTTAAAAGAAGCCATATACACTTTTTATTGTGGACCTTCATTTGAGACCAGAGCTGAGGCAAGGTTTTTGAAATTGATAGGTGGTGATTTATTGGGTATGTCTACCGTCCCTGAGGTTATTGTGGCAAGGCATTGTGGAATTAGGGTATTAAGTTTGAGTTTGGTGACTTGTATGATAGCTATTGGGAAAGGTAAATGCGCAGATCCAACAGAACAGATTTCGGATGATATTAAGGAGCCACAAGTCAATCATGAGGAGGTACTTCGGATTGGAAAAGAAAGAACTTCGGATATGCAGAAATTGATTGGAACTATCGTGGATTTAATTGCATCTATCTAATAAAAAAAAATCTATTTGATTGTCTATACAAAAAACCTATCCATTGATTCGTAAATCCATAAAACAATGAATTTGTATCTTAAATTATTATATTAGGTTGTTACCTTGGTTTTAACTATTAGCAGAATATTTTTTGTTTTAGTTATAAAATGGAAATATGCATGGTCCAAATGCAGTATAATAGTTTTCTATTTCTACTTACGTATGGTTCATTAGCTCAAATATTAATATAGATTTTTTATTAAGCGTCTAGCGTTAATAGATTTAAAAATTATGTTTTCGTATAAACTAGAACATGATCATGTGGCAGCTTCGCCGTCTGAATTAATAAATAATTACTTTACTTACTAGTGAATGGTGCAAACAAACTTGATAGGGTAATATATGATAGTAAAGAATAGCTTATCCCAAATAACTTGTTTGATGAATTTTCTTTTTATCAGTAAACATTATAATGGATAATTTTATGAAATTTCTTTTTTTTGGTCCAATTGAGCATAAATTGAGCATCTAAAAGCTAATTGGCGTAGATGTTAAATATAGTTTTTTCTCATGATACTTTTTTTTTATGTAATGTATAATTTCTAATTTTAAAGTGTCGCCCATAAAAAAATGTAGTTACGTCATAATTAAAGCAAAGAGCAATTATTCGATGTGTGTCAGGCTTTAAAACTAGCGTCAAAAATTAGCACACGAAATCACCTTTAATGATCTAATAAAAAGTTTTCGTCGAGCAATTTTACTATATAAACTACTCCTTTCTAATCCCAAACCCTAATCCTAACCCTAACATAAACAAACTTTAAAAAATTTTGCTGCGCCATAAACCTGGCACACATTGAAGAGTTGCTTTAAAATTAAGGCAGTAAATTGACGAAGAGAGGATTTAAATAAATAATTAATCCTTATAACTCAGCTATATTATAATAATCGGAAATTTTACCTAATATTCCGAATGCAGCACCAAACAGTTAAAGTTTGATAACCTGCACTTATATGGTCTGATTTTACAAATTGAGCACTTCTTTCCGGAACATAAATGTATAATGAATTCTAAATTCTAAAACACATAGTTGGAAATAAAGGTTCTGCTTTTTCTGAATTAATAAATACAACACTACATTATAATTTCTTTATAAATATTGGCAATTCATGCTGATACCTTATAAATTTACGTAAAGAGCAAATCCTAATAAATTTTGAAATTTCTAAAATTCAATTTCTTTAAAAAAAATTTATAATTGATAATAGATAGGAATGATGTTAGTAAAACCCTTTCTTAAACTTTTTTTACTCGTAGTTTGCCTAATCCCTCCTAGTATATCGGCAGGATTAGCACTTGCTAATATGTTTAACCTTGAACTAAGTGAATTTACTATTACAATCACAATAATTCTCATGATAGTCACAGCAATTTCCTTGCCAATAATTAGTTATAGTTCTGGCAGAATAATGGTCATTGCGGTGTTGTCAGGAACTTTATTTACAATTCTTCCGATAGTTTATGCATTTATTATCATAAAGGACAATCTAATTTCAAAATTTTCCATGATTGTCACGTATTTTGTTGGAAATGTAATAGGAGTTAAAATATTTGTGCATTTATATTATAATGTAAATTGCAATGGATCGGAAAATTGGAAAAATCTTGGTAATATATTCATTATACTCATGACGATAATTGGTGCTTGGAATACATATATTTTTACAATGATTTTAACCGAAATCAATAGATATTTATATTTACAAAAAAATCCAATAGCTCTACTATCACTTTTTTGGTTAGATTTATTGTTTGTAAAAATATATGTTATTTATATTATCATTGAAATTTTTAAGGGAGAGAGAGAGAGGGAGAGGGAGAGAGAGAGAAAAATAGAGAAAGAAAGAGAGAGTGTGAAAAAGAGAGAGAAAGAGAGAGAAAGAGAAAGAAAGAGAGAGAAGATAAACAAAGCAGGTGTTAAATATATTTTATATCATCATACAACCGAACCTACTCAAGATGATCATTTAGACAGTCTAAGCGAAAGCTTAAACTATCAGGACAAGTTACGAATTTTGAATTATATCTTCAATAATCTCAATATTATCCATGAAGTATCCAACAATAATGAAATGGTTAGCTCCAAAAAAAGTTCTGGACATCTATATAAGGCACCCGAAATTTTAGACGGACAAACTTACAACCAGGCATCAAATATTTATTCTTTTGGAATGCTTATGTTTTACCTTTTGTCTGAAAATATAGATAAGAATTACTATTCCATTTGGAAATTTAGAGAATACACATTTTATGATTATTATTTGCCAAAACCCACTTGGAAACTTATTAAAAAATGCACTGATTACAATCCAAACAATCGTCCTGCAACTGAAGAAATTTCAAGTTTACTTTTATCTTGGCTTAAAAGTTTTGGTAATGAGAAGCTTTACTATTTGAGGTGTGCATCTTATATACATACCTTATTTCATAATTTTAAAAATACTGTATAAGCATGAAATAATTCCTAGGAGTGTTATTTGAATCAGGACCAAAATTTTGACCAAAATTTATAAATTGCACCCTTGGGCGTTATTTCTTGCTTATACAATATATATCTAGTTTATTAGAACTTACGATTATCAATTAAAGCAACACCAATAGGCACTTAAAATACAGTGCTAGTATATCATTGGCTTGAATTTATTTTTTATAATCAAAAATTATAGGTAATTATCCTTGAACCCGAACTAATTTTATATATGACGTAATAACATTTTGAACTGGATTCAAAATTCATTACCCTTATGAAAATTGAATAGTTTCACTCATATGTTAAAAAAAAGATAGACTACGTCATCCAATTTAAAATCTGTATGTAACCCAAAAATCCGATTCAGAATAATAGGCTTTAACGTTCTTTTTAACATATATCTGTTAATAATATTTTAAAGCCCGTAAAACGTTCCATTTTAGATGTAAAAATTTTTTTTTGCAACTCATATGACTATAATATCGCACACCTCAAATTTTCCATTGTTTGTGTATGCATTTCAAAAGTCTAATTAATCAATTATGAATTAGATACTCAATCTACATCAGGATCACTTCATAACAACTATATAACTATTATTCAGTACATAGAATCTACAATTCTAGCTATGTCGGATATTTATATTCCATATGGTAATTTTGCAAATATCCGAGAAATTGGAAATGGAGGTTACGGAACAGTGTTTTATGCCGAGAATATATCAGATAAAAATAAACCT